TTACACACATTTTCCTTTTAATAAACTGGTCATCTTCTACAAGTAGTTTACTATGCCCTATTGAGGTGGTGCCCTCAATAACTCTCTGGTGAATGAAACAGTGTCAGTGTGCTAAACTAAGCTAGGATGCTGATATTTTTTGATATTTTAGTCTTTTTTACACATTTGTTTCTTCTTCCTTTTGCTACCACCTATATATTCTAAAATGCAGTAAATTCTAGTAGTAAGGAAAAAGTCAGATAGCCACCCTCTTGAGAACTTGTAAAATGTATTTTCTGGGTATAGCCCATGAATGTTTTGGAAAGAGTAAAGTGTGTGGTCTTTTTAATTAAAAAAAATAATCACGCAGAGCTGGAGATATAGCTCAAGGGTAGAGTGCTGCTTGCCTAGCATGCTGAAGGCCTTGGGTTTGATCCCCAGCACCACTAAAAAAATTATTCCACTAGATCAGGATTAAATTAGATGATCAGCCAATAATGGGTTAAAGAAAATAAAAATATATTTTTTCTCATGTAAAAGAAATCCAGGGCTAGGCAGCTAAGGCCACGTTAGGCAGTTTCACAATCATCAGAAACCCAGGCTTCCATTATATTATTACCTGAAATATCATGTTCAAGATGTTTGCTGAAATCCCAGCCATCATTTAGGAAATTCCAATCAGACAAAGGAGGAATGAAAATCACATACAATATTTCAACTTAGTCATATGGCCACATCTATAAGTAATGCTGAAAAATATAGATTTTACTTTGAGTGGCTGTATGTGCCACTAAAACTAGAACTCTTGTTACTAAGGAAAATAAGGAAAATGGATATTAGGGAACCATCACTATCCAACTGCCTAGAAAGAGGGATGGTAAGGGCTAAAGAAAGAAAGATAATAGAGACTTGAATAATTTCAAAGTACATGGAGGGCCTAGAAGGTCAGTGCCTCTGAGTGGGCAAAGACAAAGACACCCCAAGCTAGCCATTATTTATTGGGTACACACAATAATTGGAGGGAGTATCGGATGACTTAGGCTGCTGCTGTAATCCTATGCTGAGGAGGATCTTATGTGGATGTGGGTAGTAAGGAGAGCATTCTTACAATAGTAGGTGGGTCAAGATAGCAGGCTAATAAAGAAGTTACCCTTCCCCCAGGTGAAACCTTTCTCTTTTTTTTTATTACTACTTGGTTCTTGAAGAACTAGGATGTCTTTAGCTGATTGTACTCTTGCCCTTGAGCATCACAGTATCAGGGGACCATTGAGGCCTCAACTTGTGACCAGAGGCAAAATGGAGTTATGTTTCTGCATAGCAGAGCTGGCTCACAGACAAAGTGGCATTGGGCCTTAGATAGCTATAGTCATACTTTAATTATGAAAATCTTTTTCCAAAAAAATTATGTAGAATGGCTCCAGACAAATCACAAATCCTTGGAGTACCTATCCAGACCTACTGCTGTAGCAGATGAAATTTCTACTTGTATAACCCAAGAATTACTTTTTTTCTTCTATTTGTTTTTTCTTTTCCCTCAATATGCAGTTACTATTTTTTTAAAAAAGTCAAGTTACCTTCCGTTTAATTTTGTCAGCATATGAATTTAAATTTATCTTGGGTGGTACCATCTGGGGTCTCTTACATAGATCTAACTCATATTGAAACATGTAAAGGAATTAAACATATGCCTAACTCTCTGCCTAAATTTGGGGTTAGTATCTCATCTTCCATCTGAGAGCCCAAGTCATGTAGACAACATACAGGGAATCTGCACAAGTTGTAGTGATACTCTGAGCATCTTTTAGAATTATTAGATTCATGGAATCTTATTGTTGAAAGATACTAAGTGCCCAACCCCCTTATTTTACTGAGGAGATCCCCAAGTCAGGTAATGTACCTAAGGACACTCAGCTAGCTAGTTGCAAAATTCCCCAGGCTCTATTCACCAAACCTCATGAGCAGGAAATTACCTATCTTCAGGACACATCTGCATGTGACAGAGCTTGATTCTCCCCTTCCTCTGGGGGAAGATGGGTGCACTATGAGGACAGAAGTTACTATTTCTTTTCCAAACTCTTAAATCTCCCCAGTAACAATCCTGTCTTTGCTTGCAGATATCATATGTATCTGGGAAACTCACATAACACATATTTGTTTGTTGGATGTTACAACAGTACAGAAAAGTTGTATAAGCTATTGGAATCATCAAATTAGAAGAGACCTAGAGAACATTATTTATTTCCTCAATTCCTTGATTTCTCAGTTGCGAAAACTAAAACCAGGGAGAATTGACTTAAGCGAGATTTTATTTCTTATGATTTATAGGAGGTCAAAACTAATGACAACCCTATATTTGTTTGTTTGTAACAATATTAACTATATGTAGTTATATAATAGATTAGTCTCTGAAAACTAATGGTCTACTTTAGGTAAAAAAGGAAAAATGTGGATTTGCTTTAAAACATCTCTTAAATTTACAATTAGATGACACAAGCTAGTTTTATAAAATATTTTATTTACAGTAGAGCTTTACAAAAATAAAATTAATACAAACCCATTTTACAATATAACTTATACAACTATCTTCTCAAAAACGTGACTTTTGATAATAGCACATAAACTACACATATATTTGTAAGTCACTTTGTAGTATAAATACGTTTTCATCATTTTTTATAAGGTACATACTAATAAGAATGAACAATGGACAACAAATCTTGTTTTGTGATTCTTCCAATGTAAAACTCAGCTCTGGCCAAAACAAAATTAACCAAATAAAAGTAAAACAATTGTCCTTCTGTTCAAGAATACAGTCTTTTTTAATTATTTGAAAGTTTATCTGACAGAAACACTGCATTAATCTGAAAGCACTATGGCATAGAGTCTAGTAACAATATCCCCAAAAGCTTTCTCCAATGTCCTCCCTTCAACTATTTATTTAGCATTTTGCCAAGATAAATAAAGACCAATCTCAACTCTCTCCTTCATTAGTCAGTGTTCTTATTATGCATTGATGTTTTCAGACTTTCCCCACTGGCATATATTTAAAATGTGAGTTTCTTTCTTTGGCTTCAAGTAGAGTTTCAAAACACTTATGAAACATATTGAGCTCCTCCATGTGGCTGAATCTCAGTGACTCCCCACCCAACAACATTTCCCCGGATGTGACAAGACTCTGCTCCTCCAGTCTCTCTTATCTCTTCCTTGCTGAGGACATAATTCCAGATATTGAAGCCCGTGAGTCTTCCAGAAAAGGCTAATGTTTCGTCAAAGCCCCCACCCACACAGCAGCCATTCTTTTCTTGGCCAATCTGCAGGATTCCTCCCTCAGGAACAACATGATTTGTGGCCATATCCACTGTGGTAGCCACTAGTTCACTATTTGCCCATAGGTACATGAGCCCTTCCACTGAATTCCAGGTACTGCACAGGTGGGTCCACTTTCCCAGAGAAATCACAGTATCAGCAACCAGTTTGTTTTCCTCTCCACCCACCACAAACACTATGGACTGGTAGCTGAGGTACAGCTGGATCTCATATGGATTCCTCTTTGTGCCATAGGAAAACAGGATGGTTTTGTTTAATACATCTGTGGCTTTGACCCAAATACAGGCACTAAAAGATTCAAGCTTCATTGGTCTCATTGGATGCACGCTTCCAAAAATCTTCTTGGAACGCATTGGGAATAAAATCGCTGTTTCACAACCTGGAATAGTGGGAATGTCAGAAAAAATACAAATTCACTCAGAATTATTCTGCAATAAGCATGTTAATAACTATGTTTGATATCTATGTAGTATGACGTTTTTATTTAAGGGTCCTTGGGTCTAATCTTTGCAGAGCAAAGAAAATGAGAATAAGCATCTTAACATTAAGCATCTTAATCAATGAAGCATCAGAATAGACAAGTAGGTGTGGAAATGGAAGAAAACCAACTAGTTCAAACACAAAAAATAATTTTTTGAAAATGTAGAATAGCTACCTCCCTTCCCAATGCATGTATTTTCTTTTTCACTGCTTTTGTAAAATGTTGAGTTCCAATGAGTTAACTTTAGACAATGATTCTACAATTTCCTAGGGTTTATAGCCCAGCCTGTTTCCCTCTTCTCGCCTTCACCAGGCTCTTACAATATTAAACCTGTGAAACTCAGTGGACCTAGCCATTCTGTGTAGCCATTATAATCATGCTTTTTAAAGCAAATTTCTACAATAGTGATGTTATTGGGTAATACATTTTAATATACCACATGTTCTCAGATGTTTGCAAACTTTGCAAAGTTTGTAGAAAACTACTCTTCAGAAGGCAACATTGTATAATGATGACTAATGCTTATTGGATACTCATTATGTGCTAAGTAGTGTTCTAATCAATGTATTTGTCATTTTAATTCATTCTCATGTCAGCCTTGAAAAGACTTTTACTTTCATTTTACAAATGAGAAAAATGAGGCAAAAATAACTTGTTTATGCTTCAATAGCTGATAAATTTTTAAACTGGGGTTTTCAGGGCCAGGATTTAGCTCAGTGGTGCCATGCCTGCCTTGCAAGCACAAGGTCCTGATTTTGATCCCTGGTACCACCAAAAAAAAAATCTGGGGTTTTCACTTGGGCAGTTTGATTATAAGGCCACATCTCAGACTAGCACACTACATTGACTCTTTATAATAGAATCCCTGGACTTGGCTAAGAGGCTAGGATTCGGGGGGGGGGGGGTTCTGCTACTAAATACGGAATAGCTTTTGATGAGCTCCATAATCTCTCCCAGATTTACTCTTGTCTATAAAGGCCTTTCTGTTATGCAAAGTTTATGAGCAACAAGTACGTAGCACTCACAAAGAACTGAGTAGACCAAGCATACACCTAAAAATTCTTACTTTGTTCACATGCTTACAACTATTATTTAAGCAGTAATAGAAAACCTTTAAGAGGAGTGACTTCTTCCAAGCAGCCTGGTTGGAGAACATATTTCTACTAAAGAGCACTTTAGAAGGAAAGGCCTTTCAAACTTGAAGTTGAGAGCAGTAAATTCCCAGCTCTGTCTATATCAAGCCACATAGGCAATCCAGGAACTACAGATGCTGAAGTAAAGGCCTCCAAAGTGTCTTTGGGAAATTATTGGGACCAAATCTGTAACACGTGGGCTCTCCCTCTCTTCTCTTCTCGCTCTCTCTCTAGATATAGATATATATATTTTACATATCAAATAATTTTTAAAAACTAATTTAGTGTTAGACTGTTAACTTTATGACAACGTAAAGATGAGCCATAAGAACATTGAAAAGCAAATTCTCAGAGCATTTAAACACTAACTGGTGAACAGACAGAGCTTGCAGGAAGCAAATGCCCATAGAAAATATTGTAAATTATTAAACTCCTACAAGTAATTGGTTCTAAGTTAGGTTCTGACCTGAAAACATGAAGCAAATGTGGACCTTATCATTTATCTTTAGTCAGAGAAAATATTGAGATTCAGAAAATAATATAGAAGTAACTACAATATCAATGAACAAAACTGGTCCTGTTACTCTTGAAAATTCAAATTGTTCCCTGAAAAAGTGAATGCTAGTTTTTCTAATTTTTCCAATAGACATCTTCCAGTGAAATTAAGAGGTGCACATTTTTGTAGATGTATGAATAAAATAAAATATCAAAATCAAGTAAAGATCATGGATCATCATTACTATCCATGATCATGGATCACCATTATCTGTGGGCATTTGAGATATTCCAGTCTCTTTAAGTTTCAGTAGTGTTCAAGAGGGTCCCTGTTGCAATCTAATTAACAGAATTCCAGTTTCAATAAGCCCCAGGCAGTGAGGCTAGCATTCCAAGGCACTCCCTGACCGTGTCTGGGAGACCCAGCTTCCCTCTAGGCAGCACTGGCTATATATGTAGAGAGCTGCATATTGGCAATATTCTGAGGATTTCTTTTGGGACCAGTCATTGAGGCCCTTGATGCTGCTTTAAAATGTCAGAAACTCTCATGAAATGGCTTTTAACTAATAGGTTTTTCTAATTATATTATCAAAGACCTAACAAAATTAAAACCAGGTTCTTAGGCTGACAACAGAATGATTAGGAATCCCTTAGGAAGAAAGCTGGCAGAAGACCAAGAGAGGACAAATCAAAGCTGGTGGGAAAAGTATTGCTGGATATAATAAGGATTAACATTTCAGAATTCGGAAATACATCTTTCTTCTTCTGTAATATACAGAGGTGAAGATGAAAATTAGGGTAATTCTTCCAGTTTGCAGGTAGATTACATGTAAAATGATTTTGCATATTTTAAAAAACTTAAGAAATTTCATGCATTAAAATAGCCACAGAATTATCCTTAGTCTCCTATCACATTGAGTATTTACTTTATATTTGATTTTGTGATTTTTCTCCTCTGAGGCTTTATATATTATTCAAGAAAATATGCTCTGTACTGATAGTCCTCAAATTATTTAGGAAAGACAACTATTCTGGCATGTTTCTGTAATTTTAAATGAAACATGCTCTTACAGATGCTTATGAATCAGTCTTCCCCCACCTCTTCTAACAAGATTTTCTTTTTTTAAATTAGGAATAAAGGATGGCACTGTTTGTATTTGTTTCTGAGACGCTCATGAAAAGTCTATTATATTTTCTTACATAGGATGCTAATTTTCTAAAATAATCCACAAATTATTTTTACATCACCATTTCTTAGAAAATTTGACTTAAAAGGTATTACTTTGCTCCAAGGCTTCTATTTCTTTCTTGAACCAACTTTAAAAGGCATTATTATTTCAGAAACCCAAGTCTGTCTGTAGGTCCATGGAGTGCCACAGGGGACTTGGACCAGCTGGATCCAGTTTGAACAGTTTTCCCTGTGTGGCCCTGGTCTCTGACTTCCGGGGGTAGGACAAGGCTTTGTGCAGGCTTTGGCTCCTGCACCTGATTTTTCCACTTCGGATTCCAAAGCGCACACCTTCCGACTTCCATTGCGGAAGTAATTCCACAGACCCCTAGGGCGGTGGGACCTTTGGGGAATTTCAGAGGACCAGATTCCGCCTCAAGTCTCCAGGTCCAAATAGGTTACGGAGGAGGAGCCGAGAAGGGCTGGAAAAAGACCCTAAAAGTTATCCTGGTCCCTGAAATAGCGCGGGAAACAAGAGCTCCCCTAAAGTGAGGGGCAGGGTAAAATTAGAAGACTTGGAAATCCCTAACGGAGGGAAGCTGGGCAGGGAGAGAGGTCTCTATAGTAACAGGCCGGTGCAGCTACTGTAACGTCTGGTTGGATCGGGTGTCAGGGACCCTGGACGTCTGTTTCAAGACTGATAGTTCAGTCCCCAGCTTAACTTTAGGTTCTGGGGGGTGAGGAACTCGTAAAAGGCAATTCTCCCGCCGTGTGTGGTGTGTCTGAGCTCTGGGACGGCGCGTGCAGACAGGGGTCTGTGTGTGAGCCTTAGCCCAGGAAAGCTCGCCTGACTTGGCGCCCGCCCCGCGCCCTCGCGGAACAAAGCCGCGGGGGGAGCTCTCCTTACCCGCCGGCAGCCAGCGCTGGGCCGCCCAGCCCTGCACCGCCCGCAGGTCGGCTCGGGTCCGCCGCAGCTCCTCCAGCACCGCGCCCAGGGCGCGCCCCGCCTCCTCCGGGCGCAGAGCCCCGGCGCCTTCCAGGCGCGCCAGCCTGCTGCTCGCGTCGCGGCTCTCCCGCAGCAGCTCTTCCAGCGCCCGGGCCAGCCTGGCCTCCGCCGGGGCCGCGGGTGCGCACGGCCTCGCCAGGCTGCCCGAGAGCCGGCCGAGCTCCGCCCGCAACTTCTGCAGCTCTCCGCGGAGCACGTCGTCCGTGGCCTGCAGCAGCATGCTCTCCCTCATCTGCGAGTTCTCCAGCATGATGAAGAGCTTGTCCCACTCGGAGTGCTCCCGGCTGCAGTCGCACGGCGTAGCTGGAGCGGGGACACACACGTTACCAGCCAGCCCAGGCCTTCCTTCGGGGCCCTTTGTAAAAGCTGACCTTCCTCGGTGGTCCCAAGTGACAGCCTGTCCCCAGCATCCCCTTTGTTTTAAGGACAATTCCGTCAAACACCACGGAAATAGCTCAAAAATGGCACGGAAACCACGAATTCGAATATAGATTGAGTTGAACTCTATGAAATTGCCGTTCCTGTAGCTAAAAACAGTCATACAGGCGATTTCATATGGTCCCACTCAAGTATCAGTTACAGAAATGACTTTAGAAACCTCTCGCTTTTCCTCGAATATCTCTCACTTTTAGACAACAAACTACAGTTTTTAGCTTGTTTCGTTGGCTACAAAATATCTGCATATGATTTAGACCAAAAGAAGTGGGATGTGTAAGGTAAGAGCAGAGAAAGTTGAGAGGAACTTACGGTCTTCAGTGGGATGGAGTCCATTGAATATTTCGTTGTCCATATTCACATACATGAGCTCATAATCATCCGAGTTTTCGGCCAACGCTGCAGACCAGAGAGCACAAAACAGAATTACAAGGAGATGCATTACTGGAGAGAGACAAAGTTCTTTCCAGGGCTGGCGGGAGGGGAAGCAAAGCTCGCCCGCGAGCTGAGTTTAAGCAGAGAAGAGTGCGAGTGAGAGGCTGGAGCCCACGAGCTCTTAATAAACGCGGGGAAGCCTGAATGGAGATGAATGAGTAACGCAGTGGCACCGCGCAGCGGGAGTTCCCCTGGATTTGGGGGAGGGGGCTGGGTAGGAGGGCGAGGGAGAGCTGGAAGTTGCGCAATATTAAACCACAAAGGTTTACACTGCGGTCAGATTCATTGGAGGAGGGTCAGAGGAGAAAGAGGAGAGAAACTGGGCTTTGACTTGTCACCTCGAGGATTAGCTGTTGTAACTTCAATTGGTACCACTGGGGGAAGAAAAAAGGAAGGATAGGGGAGAAATAATTCAGCAGGCATAGAGATGTGAATTCAAATCACCGTTCTGGCACTTTGTGTAAGTTTCTATTCGCAACCCTTTAAGTGTAGAAAACTTTTTCATTTTTCCTTTGGGCACTTTCGTAGGTGTCGCTGTGCAAGTTACTCTGGTTCTGAGTTATCTTGCCTTTAATCCTTCTGGAATTGCAACTATACTTTCATACACACTATTTCAATGACACAGTACAAGTGAGTAAACCTAAAATGGGAAAGAGCTGCAGGAAAAAAAAAATAAGCTGATTTTAGGTGTGTTTCTTTCCAAAACCTAGTATGATGTGGACATTGTATTCGCATACAAGGCTTGGAGGTAAAGATCATATTTTAAAAGTAAATTTAGTGGCTCCCATTTCTGTCAATATGTGGAGGTCTTTAACAGCTGAAAACCCTCCTACATAAAACGCACTGAAATGTATTTACATTGTAATAATAGTAACAAAACTTAAAACATCAGATGAGCTCCCAATAAAGAAAGGAAACTACCCAGGAGCCAGAGAAAGAACCAAAAACAGGAAGGTAAGCTCAGGAGCTGCTGCTAGGGCACATGGAGTGGGGGTAAAAGATCAGGTTATTGTCATAGCCACTGAGGGTTGACTACCCAAGTGGGAATGAAATTTAATTAGTCTAAGGATGGAAGTTAGAAGTGAGACCCCACCAGAACCCTGAGAGGGGTACCTATTAAGATTTCAGTAGGCATAACCCCACTCCCTGCCCTACATAAGATAGTGGGAAGCAAGCTTGGCTCCCTTTGAACACTTTACAAGACTCCTCACTGGGCACAGTGGTGCACACCTGTAACCACAGTACTCTGGGAGGCTGAGGGAAGAGGATAGCAAGATCAACTTTGGGCGATTCAGGGATTTACCAAGACATTGACTCAAAAGGAAAAGAACTAAGGATGTGGCTCCATGCCACGGCCCTGGGTTCAATCTCCAGTAACACACATACACACACACACTCTCGCACAAACAAATCTCTAAGAGTTTATGGCGTTGGGCTTGCCCTCACACATTTGAAATGCAAATGTATAGTATCTGCCACAGTAAAAAATGAATTAAAGAATCAAATATTCTAGAATGTTTTTAAGAAGTTAATTGAATGGATTTACTGGCAAATTAAGCAAAACTGAAGAGAGTGTTAAGGAACTGGAAGATATATATAAGAAAATAATACAAAATACACTCCTTTATGTTCAGTAAAATCATTTCAGTGTTCGGGAGGATGACAACAATTAACTTTTCTTTGTTGAAAAATCCTTATTATAATTTTAAGGACAACCCCCACCCCCAACCCAAAAGGAAATAGATATTCACAAGAAAGGAACAGAGAAAAAAAGTTTGATTCATTCAACAGAATGCACTGGAGGAAAGAAAAGCAAAGACAAAATAAGATCAATAAAAAGCACAACACAATATGGTTAAAAATCCAAATATGCCAAAAATTACCATAAATGTTAATGAAACATATTTCGCAGTTAAGAGGCAAAAGTTAGAACTGAGGATTTAGCTCAGTGGCACCATGCCTGCCTTGCAAGTGCAAGGTCCTAAGTTCAATTCCAGGTACCAAAAAAAAAAAGGCAAAAGTTGCCAGATAGAAATATTTTTTAATTCTAACTGTATGTCATTTTTGAGAGCAACACATAAAACTCTAGAAAAAAATGAAGCCTATAAAAATTAAAAAGGAAGGAGTTGAAGAGAACATAACAAGCAAATGCTATTTTTTAAAAAAAGAACTAGCATAGCTGTATTAATACCAGAAAATAGTCAAAAAGAGTAAAATATGACAAAAATATTTTATTAAAAAGATAACTCAGAATTATCTAGTAGCATAATTTCAAAAAATACATAACAAAGACTGCCTCATTGGGCATGGTGATGCATACCTGTAATCACAGCACTCTGGGAAGCTGAGGGAGGAGGATAGCAAGACCAGCTTTGACAGAATTCTAGAAAGAAATTCATAAATCACTGATCATGGGGGCAGAATTTAACACAAGTGGTAAATTCATCTGTTGTAACAGAACATTAAAATGTCAAAAAACTTACTAAATGACACAGAAATTTCAGTATATAATTTGAATTTTGAAATGATGAAATATAGAGAACCCTGACCAGGTAGTTTGATAGGTAATTTCTACCAGATATTCAAGGAACACATAATCCCCATCCTATACAAACTTCTGAGAATAGTGTGCAGGAATGTTCCAAATTCTTTTTATATATTTAGTAAGTATGGAACCAAAAAGAAACAAGGACAGTACAAGAAAGGAAAATTGCAACTAGCCTCATTTAAGAACAAGATCCAAAAGCTCTAAATAAAGTATTAGCTGAACAAACCCAGAAATATATGCATAAAAATACTTCACAACTAAGTTGAGTTTATCCCAAGATTGCAAGAGTCATTAAATATTAGGACATCTATTAACATATTACATTAACTGTTGAAAAAAGAAGAATCATATGATCATATCACCAGGTGAAGAAAAGTATTTGGTAACATTCAACACATGATCAGACTAGGAAATACATATGAACTTATTTGAGTCACTAAAAAGTACAAACCAAACCCATAGAAATAGATTTATATGTAATTATAAATCCTTGGAAACATTCTTTAAAAACAGGAATAATATAAGGACACTCATGGAGCCTGATTCTATTCACTGACGTATTAGAGGTCCCAGCCAATAAAATAGGACATAAGGTGAAAAACATAAGATGGAAAGAAACAAAGCTAATATCATCATGAGTTGATTACCCAGTACAGAAAAACTAAAAGACTCAAAATACATTATTAATAAGAGAATTTAGCAAGTTTTGCTAGATGTAAGACCAACATACAAAAATCTATTGCTTCCTTGACACTAGCAGATAAATTTAAAATATCCCTTAGAGGAAAAAATATTCCATTATAGCAGCAACAATAGATATTATCATACCACAACATCAATATAATAAATGTACAAAAGTCATATATACAAATGTCACAACAATTCATTAAAAAAACATAAAAATATCTAAAGAGATGGAAAGTTAAACCATATTCTTAAATGAGAAGACTTAATTTCATATAGATGTCAGTTATCCCAAATTTGTCTATTTTTTCATGGAAGTTAACAAACTGATGCTACAATTTGTATACAGCATCAAGAGGGTCATTTAAAAAGCAAAAGATGAGGTAATTTGCCCTATAGTGCTGGAATGATTATTTATATACAAAATATATCATTCTATACCCCATCACCTAAGCAAACGCCGATGAATGTCAAGACCAAATATTAGCAAGGATGTAGACCAACAGCAACACTCATCTTGTTGGTAGAGTGTAAATTGTTTTAATGTGATGACTGAAGCAGACTCAGAGAGACGCCATGTTGCTAGCATTGAAGATGAAACATGGATGACCTGGAGAACTGGAGAAGCTGACGAAACTGATACTCTTAAGCCTCTTCCTAGCACCCTAGTTTTGCCCTCATCTTGATTTTAGCCTACTCAGACTAATGTCAGATTTCTGACCTCCATAAATAGAAGATAATAAATTTGTGTTATTTTAGGCCACTAACTTTGTCATAATGTCTTGTTGCAGCTACAGAAAACAAACACGACTACTTGGCAAAGAAATTTTGGAACATCTAGAAACTCAGCTCTCAGGGACAAACCTGCTGTGTTGCTCCTTAATTATGTGGTCCAAATGAACATCACCTGAAGACTTGTTAGAAATTCAGATTCTCAAGATTTCTTCCCAATCTGGTGAATTAGCATCTGTGTGATTCACAATAGGGTCCAGGGAATTATCAAGTACTGTCCTAGAAAATATTTTCCACTTATACACATAGAGGCAGTTGTAAAAATTACAACACTACTAATAAAAGTGAATAAAAATAATAATAATGCCATGGAGTACGTTAATAAATTGTTGCTTATCTATACAACAGAATACCACATAGCATGAGAATTAATGAGGGAGAACTTCTTGGAGAAAAACTTCACTGCCATACTGAATCAAACAAAGCCTGTTTCAAAGGGATACTATCCACAGTATTATACTATTCATATAAATTTTAAAGCATGTGTAACAACTATAAAATATTTATTAATACATACACATGTAATTAAAGTGTGAAACATTCATGAAAATGAGAAATACTAACTTTAAAATGTGGTTGTCTCTGGGGAGAAAAGAAAAAGAATGGGATAGGTAGCAATTATGGCAGAAGGTGAAGCTTTTACTGAGCTGGTTTATGGACACAACAGTATTCCTTACGTTATGATCTACATTTGTCTGATGCTCTGAAATATTTTGTAATTCAAAAGAATCTATTACTTTATAAATGGAATTTATAGGATTTCTACACCCAAATGATTTCATCAGTTTCAAAACCCAAAATGTTCTTCTGAATTTATTTTTGTATTATTTGATTACAATCAAGGTCAGCTGACTAATCAAGAGTTTTCCCCTTCACGGATCCCGGGGCCTGAAGTGAGAAGTGTACCAAAAAAGTCATAAACCACTGTCCTGTCCCAGATTCCAACTATTGTCCCACTTAATGTAACATTTTTCAACAGTTGATCAGGGTATCCACATAACTAAGTTCGATGGCTTAATAGGTTCTGTACAAATTGATTTTTGCATTCTTGAGCCTTTAAGGAGATGCTCTCAGTAAAAGTAAATAGAAAACAAAATACTTTAAGTTAAATTGTTGACAACAAATACTGATGGTCACGATGTGCTTAAAAATTACTCTGAGTATTTCCAATATTGTGTACTCTATGAACAATATGACTAAGGCATGTTTGAGACTAATTTTATAAAATACACATAGAAAAATCAATTCTCACTGTTTGTTGTTATCCAAATGCACTCAGTTTCATCTGGACTCACCCTGTCACTGGATGTAAACATTAACATTCTAAAACTCCTGGCCTTCTTTCCTTAATGCTCATAATTAATATCTTTTAGATATGAGCATACCCCCCACTTAATGAAGGGCTACATGTGTGTAATTCTTGCTTTTCTGACTCATTATGTGTATGTCTTCTATATAACAAAGCTGTTAAAAGTAAATAGAGTCAAGAAAATTTCCTAAAGAAATCCCTAGAAACCAATTCCCTTGTGATGCTGAAGGACTTGAGAGGATTTTGAGGAAAAAAATCCATACCATCAAGTGATAAGCAGATGTTTCCCATATGTTGTTTGCAGATAAGATCTTACAGCTTATGCAACATTTTTTTCTTGAGGTTTTGCCATTTTAAATCCAGTTCTTTATACATGTCTTTGAGGCAAATCACAAATGACAAACAAGTTGAGTCTGAACTTCTTTTGAAATAGTGCAGAAACAGGTGATTTAAATTTGCATTGCTACTTTTTAAACTATTCCTAAAAATAAAGCATAGTTTTTATATGCTCATTGTCTAAATGCCTTTGTATCCCTCTGGAATGTGAATACATTCCTCTCCACCTTTTTTCAGTTCAGTTTCATTTAGGTTCACATTTACGACACCACTTACTTTTCATTTCAACATCATCCAAACGTTGCTTCTCATAAGAAATTCTTTCCCTCTCACGGGTGTGGTCTGGTTACTGTCAAATGTTCTTCCATCTCCCATGGTACATTACTCAGAAAAAAATTTCGCTAGATAATAATGCTGATTATGTCACAAAATAGTCCCTTTTGTGAAATCAGTTTAAATCATGCTTTAAGTGATTTTTCAGAACAAGATACTGTGTTGTTTTTAAGAGACTTGGCCATCATCTGTGATACTAATATGCAAGTGCAAAGTTTGTTGGATTGACAGCAGTGTTGTTTCTGTTGCTCATGGGCTAAATCACCTTTCCCGTTTTTTTCTCCCCCAACAGGAAATGCCATGTTGTTAAGGGTATTACCTGCAGTGTATGAAAAGCAGCCTCAGCCAATTAACAGACACCTGATAGAACTCTTGGCCTTGATGTCTCAACTGGAACAACCAGAGCAGTCCCATCTACTACAGCTTTTGCATGTAGCAGCAAAGAGGAAACAACTGGAGGTAAATAGTGTATTATATATACAATGGTCCACATAGCCAGACAGGATATGTCATTAATGTCTCCTCACTTGTATATCTAAACACATTCATCTTCATGTGAAAGCAAGTATCTACTTATGTACCTATGAGATATATACTGTATGTATCCCATCTGTTTCTGCTGCAAGCTGGAGACCCAGGAAAGCTAATAGTATATAGTTCTAGCTCAAGACCCAAACCCCAAGAGCTGTAGAACCAATGATATAAGTCCCATTCTAAGATCAGAATACCAGTGTTCCAGCTCCTCAGGCAGAATGAATTCTCCCTTCCTCCACCTTTTAGTTTGATTTGAGTTCCTCAACCACTTAAATGATTACCACCCATAGTAGAAGGACAATCTGCTTTACTCAGTCTTCCCATTCAAATGCTAATGTTCTCCAGAAAAATCTTCACTGACACACCTAGAAATAATGTTTAAACAAATATCTGGGCACTCTGTGACCCACCAAGTGGACATATAAAATTAACCTTCACAGGTACAGTGACAAAAAGCAACAAGTGCAAATTTTTAGCCATGGTAGTGTGGCTTTAATGCAAGTTTACTGTGGCTGTGCACTTCTAAGAATCTGTAGTTTCTCAGGTATAGCCAAGGAAAAGGCAGACACATGGCTTGATTTTTGAGTAAATCACCCTTTGGTGAAAGCAAAGGGTCATTTTCTAGGTAACAAGTTGTTCTTTGGATTCAAGTGAAAGATTATAACAATTGCAATGCTTGTGATTACTAGTGAATGCTCAAAACACACCGGGTATGAAAGGAATTTATAGCTAATGGGACAGAATAAACACTTAAAATGTCAGATTAGACTTGGTCAAGGAAATCAAAAAATGGAAATAAAGTAATTTTTCTCTCTCCATCTCTCAGGTTGGATTTCTAGGTTTTGGCTTCCATTTCCACAGGCTTTTTCCTTGTCACCTCCAGATAGATGCTAGGGGCTCTCTGGGTACATGCTTGTCCTACTACCACCATCACCGTGAACATCCAAGCAAAATTCTTGTTTTTCTCTCCATTTAGTACACATGCTTTGCACCTGGAGCTTCTCCTGAACTTGAGGATACCCAGATAGAAACTAGAGGATGGCTGGAAGGAAGAAGTAGAAAAGGATTCTGGAATGTACCAATGTGTCTGCATAGTGAAGATTAATGATCAACCCAAGCTTGTGTCAATTATGGTTACGTCCATGCTCCATTTCTTTATTGTGTCAATATCCACTGTTTGACAAAACAGTCAACACTAAGGTGAAGACTGGAGCATTTGTATTCAACATCCAAATTATTCAAAGACAAGAAACAATGGGCCATGTACACAATTAACCAGTATACACTGCAATCTCCTTTGACAAGGAACGGTTTATTCTTTTCCTCTGTAGTCTAGATCTTTGCCTAGTTTCTGATATTTCTCAATAAACATTCACAGAGCCTCACCGAATTACACGTGGTGATAAGTGCTTTGCAAATACACACAGAAAGGGAGGGAAATTGTCCCCTGAAGTCTCATTAAGGGAGTAGTATCAAGAGCCAGACCCTGATGAATGCAATTTTGGGCAGATGCAGTAAAGGGCAAAGGACCTATAGGAAGTGGGGGCAGGACTGGGAGGGCTGTACAGTAAAGATCAGGCTTTATAGGATGCTTCCAACAACTTTGGCTAATTGTGAGCTCCACCCCTAAAGATTTCAGTTCAATTGTCTGGAGTGGACTCTCAACTCTGCCTTTTTTTTTTTTTTAACAAGCTCCTAGGTAGTGATGCTGCTGCTCCAGGGAGCACATTTTGAGTAGCAAGGCTAGAGGTTGGACAGAGGACTGGAGACCTCTACATGACATACGTAGTGTACATCTTTGCTTTTGCTCTTAAAACAATGTTATTTCTTTTGCATATATGTCTCTTCCAGTGTACTGTAAACTTCTTGAGGAGTGTAAGTCTCATGTGTATATATTCATATTCCTTAACCCAGTTCTATGCACATAGATGGGCTTCCATAAAAACTTGTTGAACTAAGAGATGAATAAATGAACAAGAGACTAAAGAGAATAGACATCACACAAAAGCAGTAAAAATTGCGTCATAGCCTCCAAAGACAGAAAGGTGGCTCAACAGAATCACTGTCTAGAGAAGTAAAGGAGAATAGGGATGGGCACTGACCTTGGATTTGACAACTGGGGCTCTCTAGTGACCCCTGAGGGGCAGTGTTTGTGGGCCTGGGCTGCATGGAAGCAGTCATTTATTGTGCATTGCATATGGAAGGGAAAGTAGGATATGTGAATATGGACTGCCAGTTCATCATGTTCAGAGGAAACAATGAGAGTTTAAAAGATACAAGAAGATTAAAGACATGGAAAGTAGGAGAGGAGGTATTAGAACAAGATGGTAGCAGAAGTTAGAAGATATACTCCAGGTACATGAAGGGATCAATTTGAGAAAAGATTAAGGATGAAAAGATGGCCAAAGGTATAGTAGAGTTTGGGGTAAGGAATGGAGTTGAGGTATCCCTGGATAACCTAAAAGGAGGCTCACTCAGTGAGGACAGATCAAGTGGTATATTCGTTAGCTATTACTTCTCTAATAAACTAACATGAACTTAGTGTTTTAAAGCAACACAAATTTATTACCTTAGAGTTCTTCAGGTCAGAAGTCCACAATGCATTAGCAGGGCTGATTGCCTCTGGAGGCGCTAGGGAACAACCTGTTCCTTTGCCTTTTCCATGTCTCGATCCACATCACTCTAACCTCAGCTTTTCTCATCATCTCTCTTTCTCTGGCTCTGGCTCTCCTCCCTCTCTCTTATAAGGACCCCTGTGATTACCAGGGTCACCAGATAACCAGCATAATCACTCATCTTAAGACCTTTAACCTAGCCATGTCTATCTTCAGGTGCCACTATACTGTATACTGCAGGTAGAGCCTGGGGGCCAAATGACATGCAGAATAGGGGAGGAGTGACTGAAAGGCCAAATTTGGCCTCATAGAGGCAGCTGAAGTGCCATTTTCTCTGCAGCTATAAATAAATAGCTATAAATTCCTTTCAAGAAAAGTTCATGAGGGATCTGAAGAGACTATCTTAAGCAAACTTTTTTCCATTGGGTAATTAGTGGACATGAAGGTAAATGTAGCCCATAAGAGGCTCACTTGGAGAATGAAGTAAGGTGAAAGGACTTGGGGACAACCTCTCAATATGGCCAGGCCCAAGAGTGAGGGTGACTCCACAGGTGGGATCCAAAGAGGTTACATCAGAACTTGTAGATGCCCAGAGAGTCAGGAAAGGCCTATGCAGCCATTTAAAAGCAGGCTTCTGATTACTTTCTCTAATAACCTCCACACAGGAGTTTGAAAGCCACTGATGAACATCTTCTCAGGGCACTGAGCTTTTACATATATGCTATGCTGTCTACCTGGAAGGTTCTTACCTCACAACCACCACCCTTTCTTAGCTTACTATTCCAGTCCATTAGCCAGCAGCTTAAAAAAAAATGCTAAAAATGTTCTGTAACCACCACCACCCCAATTCCTACCATAGAAAAATTTCATACTGAAATGAATTTGTCTGCCCTGGTCTTTTTCCTGGCCTACCTTGACTGGATGCAGATGCTTGAGAAATGAGAAGCATCTTGTTCACCACCGTATCCCCAGGGGCTAGCATAACATCTGCCATCCAGAAGTCCTCTCATAAATATTTCCTATATGGGTAAGTCAGTATTACTGCCTAAATTTTCAGAGAGCTTGATCATTCACCAAGAGCTCTGTCTTTACATCTAATATCTCATTTAATCCTGCAAATAATTCTATCATTTTTTCTCCATTTACATCAGTTAAAACAGATGCTCTCAGAAATAAATTTGCCCATCATCACCCATGTAGTAAATAATAAGATAGATAAAGGACTTGGAACCCAGGCCCCTGCTTACTCTCAACTCCCCCTCTCTTGGCCTGGGGAAGAAACTAAGCAGCTTCCACTTGAGAAGGCTGCAAGGTTTTCTCAGGCTGACTCAGTGGACAAAGGGCACTGATAGTGGCTGAGCCCATGCCGTGTACTGGGCACGGTGTGGGCGTTGTACAGACATTACCTCATTTGTTGCCCACAATAAGTCTTCTGATTTTATAAAACAATCTATAGATTTTTTTAAAAAAGCCAAATGTTGGGAAGGTTACAAACTGATAGAAACAGTGGCTGGGGGAGGTGGCTTTTCAAACCCGCCTCATCCTTATCACCTAAGTAATTTCCATGTCTTCCTCTGACCAGTACAGTCAGACTATCTTCCCTAAAACTCCCACAGAGAGACAGTTGGAAGCTCAGTTAGGCAACTTTTCCAAAACCAGACAGATAAGACCAAGCTACAGCATAAACCTAGTCTAATTCCAGCCAATGAAATCTGACACTAAAATATTGAGGCTGAAAGCCAGTGGGTTGTGAAACAAATGGGTGTTTCAGAGGACGCAGCAGGCAGTGTGGGAGAGCTGACAGAGGGTGAGCTACACAGAAGGAGGAGGAGGAGGAGAGTTGAATGGATTGAGGAAGAGGAAGAGAGGGAATGCAAATGCTGGCAGTGTGAGGGCTGAGTGTGGACCCTGCATGAAGAGACTGGGGTTTAGGAGACGCCTACAGTGATGGGAATGACTCCACCCATGCCAGGATCCTAACTGGCGGGAAGTTGGGAAGTCATAACAAGGGAACAGCGTTTCTCTTCATATTAAATTGGCCTCCTTCAGCTCTTCCTGCTGCTCTCCTCGAACCTGCACTGACACAGGCATGGAGATACAGAAGTGCTGGGTTTATCTCTTCTCTCATCTGTTCCTTACACAGTGGGCAGGGAGAAGGATGGGAGGAAACATGAAGAGAGGGTCTACTGAGAGGAGAATGCAGTAAGTGCCAACAAATCAGAAATGCAGACAGAAGCTTTCAACTCCAGTCTAAGTAATTTCTTTTCAGATGAAATAAGAAGCGGGGAGGTATTTGACCCTGTGAAATTGGAGTTAGAGTGGAACTGGAGTTAAAGTGGAACTTTTGTTTTGGCATAAAATGTCTACTGACTCTAGGAACCTGGAGGCAAACTGAATGTGCTTTCCAGTAAGGGCACTATGCAGAGTTGTGTCCTTCATGTTTTCTTTTTCTTGCTTTCTCACTTTTCATTTATTTATTTGTTTGTTTGTTTGTTTATTTTTATAGTTTTTTGGTGGTGATGATACTGGGAATTGAACCTAGGGCCTTCACACAATGAGATATATCCCCAGCCTCTCCCTCCTTTTTTTAAAACAAGGTCTCATTAAGTCTCTGAGTTGCCCAGGCTGGGCTCAAACGTGATCCTCTTGCCTCAGTCTCCAAGAATGCTAGGATTACAGGCATGTGCCACACACCCAGCTTTATATTTTCTGGAAAGCAGATCTCACTACTCACCTTTTGTACTGGAGAGTCAACAGTTGCCCCTCCAACAAAATTTTCTCTACAAAAAGCTGATTAGCCCATAAAGTTGTGAAGATGGCATAGTTTCAACATGTGTGTACCTCAGGATGTGGGTTTCCATCCTTCCTCACTGCCCTCTGGACATCCTTGTTTTCAGGAAACAGTTCTTCCCAGAGAGAGGCAATTTCTGGCCAGTGACTCATGGTCGGTACCTCCAGGGAATCTTTAGGATCCATTTATAGGAAAAGGCTGGGTGGTCAGTTTCCCAAGTGGCCCTTATGAGAATCGAGTCTGTATTTTCTTGGCTGCTGCAAGCCATGCCGTAGTCTAGCCAACCAAAGGAACAAAATTTAGCAACATGTGTGAGCACATCTGTTATTATCCCTGAGACATGGGCTTCTGACCACAGCACACAGAGATGAGTGACAGAAAGTGGCAAGTGCAGCCCTCTTAATTAGTGGTCAGGCCAGGAGGAACTGCTTTTGTGATTGGTCCCTAAAGGAGAGAGCTGTTTCCCAGGATTTTCTCTCAGCTGTGCAGAGCATTCCTGTTCACATACCTAATTCTGCAGCACCTAACAGAGCATCATCCGGCTAACAACACTCAGAGGTCACTTTTGGCATGTATTTAAAGTAGCTAGTCATTTATAGAACATTAGGAAGATGAAGTGATAGAATATATAGACTGTTCTGAAACAGTCATTAGAGCAGCACCATGATTTTCAAAAGATATAATATTTTCCAGTGTGGAAGGACTGAGAGGTAAATGAACAGAACATTGTGTAGGTATCTAGATATTAATAAACTCTTACTGCTAACCAAGTTAATTAAAGGAGAAAGTGGCCTGAGGACTAATTTAAGAGGCACACACAAGTACACATCTACTAGTTATACGAAGCATAAGAATTTAAACGTCATTTTGTACCAATTAAATTATAGGACAATTTTCAGGCTACCTTATTTTGAAGATGCTCATGACCTGCAGAGATGTACCCACAAAATTTCAATTTAGTGAACATACACTACGCTTATCAACAGCCTGCTATGGGTGCACAGAAAAGGAAATGAATAACTGTTCAGGAGGGACTAGAGACTCAAGGCTAGGCCTGCCCTGCCTATTTGTTTCATGGGGTCCTAGTCTGATTCTCCTCTATTACATCATCTACTGAACACAGCCCCAAGTGACAGGGACCTCAGAATTTTCCTAGGTATGGCAATTAGGCTTCCAGGGTGTGGACAACCCTGGCTCCTGGATTTGCTCACCTGAAGACAAGCCATGACAGCAATGTGACTTCATTTCCCTCAGTGGTGGCTATGGTGAATTCAAGTGCAAGGCAAAGATAGAAATAGGAAGAGAAGGGCAGGACAAAATTTGGGGGCTGGAGCTCATCTCTCCCCATTCCCTATAGCCACAAATTCTAAATTCAAATCAAGCATCCCAGATTGTTCCAAAGATGCATTTGTCAGGTAGGGGAGTACAATGATTTGCGCAGTTGCTGAATATTTGGGAGTGGGAAATAAGGGACTCCACATGGACTCTAGTCCCAGGTCCTGTGTGTGCTAGGGTGGGCCAGAGGGAAGATCAAATATGAAAATATGAGACCTGTCTCTTTGTTCTCTGTGGGTGCTCAGTGCTATGCCACCAGCCATGGGGCAAAGGAAGCAGATATGCCCAGAAGTGAAGATCTTGCAAAACCATGGTAGTGGGATTCTGGCCTTGGACTATGAGAAATTATTGAAAATTTCTAAAAGAGACTTAATTTGTTCAGATTTAGATTTTAGGATATGAGTCTGGTGGCAGAGTGAAGGCTAAACAGAAGGGAGAGAGATTTGGAGTTCCGATTTCCTTCAGTACCCCCGGTGTGGGGTGTGTGATCATGCCAACTTGCTTTCAGGCAACCATCTAGGTTGTCTCAGGGGCTGCTTACTTTCAGCAAAGATACAATTTTCTCTGAGACATGATGCAAGTGCCCAGTGAGGAGCACTGAAGACACCAGCCTAGGGAAATGCCCTGTGTGTGGAAAATAAAAATTCTTTATAATCTAAGAATAATCTATCTAAAGCCCAAAGCACCACTCTCCTTTCATGTGTGTGATAAGCATCAAGAAATATCTATCTTGCCTGGAAAGATAAATAAGTCCTCTCTCCTGGGGTAGCTCATGTAATAAAGTTGTTTATTGTTCTAAAAAAAAAGAGAAATATCTATCTTTTCTATCACCATCATCATAAATTTTGGGATATTATGAATTCACAACAAAACAACCAGCTTTTGTTTAACTTACAGAATTGCTGTTACTTTGTTTACAGTATTCATGGTTTCTCTTCTATTTCTATGGATTCAACTCTGCCTAAGCATATATATTTGTTCTGTGTCTCCCTCCTTCACTTCCTCCTCCACCACCTTCTCTTTCCTTTATTCCTTTTCTTTCTCCTCCTTCTCCTTCTTCTACTCTCTCCGTCTCCTCTTTCTTCCTCTTCTTTTTCCTTCATCCTCCTCCTTTGTCCTTCTCCTCCTCCTTCTCCTTTTCTCATCCTTCCTCTCACTTATATTGTATTTCAAATTGCGGCTCCCATAGTGGTTAGAGGGAATGTAACATTCCAGATGAGAACATAACATACCAAAACCTTATTCACGAAGAGCAGCATATAAATATTTTGTAAATGGCACTCTTCAACAATAGGACACAAATTAAAAGAAAAATACCTGAAAGACCTGAAGATGTTACTGTAAGTTTTAGGTTCCAAAGTCTGGAGGTTTGCTTATGTTCCACTGCGGATAATGATCCCAGAATACACGGAGTTCAGATTTCACATTTAAAATGTTTGCTTTACAAATTGATTCTGATTTAATTACTTTTTCTCTTTGCTTCTTCTTCTTCCCTCCTCCTCTCCTTTCTCTTTGCAGGTGGTTCAGAAATGTATTCCTTTTCTAATCAGGAATTTGAAGAGTTCAACCCATCATGACATCATCCTAAACATCCTTCTAGAGATAGCTGGCTATGAGCCAGTGGCTTTGAGCAGTTTTCTTCCAATGCTGAAAGAGATTGGAGAGAGATTTCCCTATCTCATTGGACAAATGGCGAGGATCTATGGAGCTATTGGGCATGTGGATGAAGTAAGTTAAGCTTTTTTGTCTTTGTTGCTCTTACCTCCCCATCTTTCCTGGGACTTCTGTGACTTCCCATTTCTCTTTCAAACTTTTGGGTAGACAGTGACCCCTGGATCAAGCAGGGTTAGGTGGATAGTTCAGAAAGTAAGGATTTCATCATGGGTTACCTGAAGGAAGAGGAGGATTAAAAGGGAGAGGAAGTGCTATGACAGCCTCAAGACCATTTTAAAACAGTAACAGCCCTTAAAAGAGCTTCATGTCATTTCTAGTTGCAGCTCTGTTCCAGGAGATCGTCTGTAAGCAGGGAGTTGGTTCTCAGAGACTACCCATCAAGAAACCCCATAGCTATCATGTCAATAAGCTCCTGGACTCAGCACGGTGTGCTCTCTGGATGATGTTATGTGGGAGAGTGAAATAAATGTTTGTGGGTGTTTAAAAGTTCTAGCCTAAATATTTGCATAATGAGATCTTTCAGCAGCAAGAACTGGATGCCAACAGAGTTCACAGTGATCAAGAAAGTTTCTAGAAATTGAGGTCCCAAAAAGTATGGACAGGGACATCCATATATACAAAATGTGTGTCTTTCTGATGATTTAGGATTTTTGTCTTTTTAAAAATAAAAGCAAATAAGTAATTGTTAATTATTAGAAGCTTTTCATTTAGTCTACTTACATATATTTAGCTATTAAATATAAAATTGTCCAACTATTAAAAGGAATTTCATAGTTCATCAAGTTTAACCCCTTGATTCTGTCCAAGATAAAAAAAAAAGAAAGAGAAAGATTATGTGACTCACCTAGATTTAGACTGGGCTAATTGGTGGCCCATTTGGAGTTAGAGCTGTGATATCCTTGACATTTATTTTCACATTTTGCATTAAAAATGGATCTTTGATGCTATTTTAGTTTCTTTCTGCTGAGAGTTGTAGAAAGCCCTATGAGTCCTGGGCTTCTTTCTGGCAGAGGGCACTTCTGCCTCGCAGTAGAAGGTGGGAGAACTGAGCTCCTGAGCAGCCCATACACATCATTGTGAAGATAGATCTTGAAAAGAGATCTCTGATATGGACATGCTTCTTAGTGTAACTCCTTGCTATTCATTGCTGTGGGAATGCCTTGCACCTGCCACAGTCAGCCTTGTGGTAGTGTTTTCTCCTGCCTGTCACTTTTGTTGCCAGTGAAGCCTGCTGCTGTAGTATTGCTAGGCCAGCTTCAGCTGACAGCTGTTTGACTGAATCTGCTGACTTTGCAGATCTTTACAAGGACCAAAAAATTCAGTCTCTGAGGTATAAAGCCCTGAAGTTTAATGGTAGTTTTTTGTTTGTTTGTTTGCTTTGGTCATAAATACATTTATGATTCATTAATGTGCAGCAACACACACTGGAGGTGGGTAAACTTCCCACAAAAAATGAAATTTATAAAAAAACAAAAACACTACCTACATACAACTGTGTCACTGTGCGTTGGTCTGAACTAAGGCTAACAAAAGAGACCTTTCTGGTGGCAACATCACAGGAGAAGTACAAGTGGATCCAAATGACCTGAGGAATATAGTTGTCCCTCAGTATCCCCAGGAATTGATTCCAGGACCCCCCAGGATAAAAAAATGTTCAAGTCACTTATGTAAAACAGCACAGAATTTTTATAAACCCCCACACATCCTCCTGTGTACTTAAAGTAAATATTGTGTAAGCTCAGCTGGTCCCAGAACCTGGAAGGAAGCTCCCCTGCTGCCATCCCAAGCTTCTAGGGGAGAGAAGGTGAGCCACGTGGGAGCCAGAAGCACCTCCCCCCCCACCCCCTGTGGAAATGAGAAAACACATAAACAAGCGTCAAAAACAGACTTCCAGATCACCTACAGCAACCCCAAAGGGAAACAAGATGGAACAATCTGATACTCAACCACCTGGACTCTCTGAACTGGCAACAAAAGAGGATCTGGGAAAAATGAAAT